CTAAGTTCAGTATGACGGTGCTTGAAGTAGCGAACCCATGTTCCTAAATACTTCCACATCAGCAAAGGAGTCAGGCAAGGCTGCCCACTGTCTCCATTCTTATTCACCTTGAATGCTAAGCATCATAAGAGAAGCAGGACTGGAGGAAGATGATCAAGGATTCAGGATTGGTGGAAGAATAAAGCAGTAAGCCATGGAATGTCCTGGGTTACTGCGATTTTATCACGGGGAAGGGTGTTCTTTGGCACGACATGAAGCGGAGTGAAACCCTCTTCCCTGTGGTAAAATCGCAGCAACTCACTGCCTCGAGTGGCTTATTGCTTTTATAAAACGGCGGCCAACATAAAATATATTAAGATACACAGTGTTTTAGATAGTTATTTAAGTTATTATTAATAATAATCAACATAAACAAGTATTCTGCCAAGAAATGTAGTTCCTTTAGAGTACGGTATCGTTGCTAAGCAACCATTGACCACAGAATCAGTCGCCAGTCACGGTAAACCGCAGACATTTGTTGGACATTATTTTTTAAAACGTTTTTCATATAACAGTAATCATATGATGTCACAGCACTGTTTAATGCAAAAACTTTCAGTTTATAAGTACTTTTTGGTCACCAAATTACCACCGCGACTCTTCTGCCAGTCTGAGACGCCACTTTTCTCACGCTGGGGCTGAATCTCAAATGGCTCCCTGCTCCCTACATAGTGCACTACGTAGGAATGTAAATACTGACTGCAGCCCAACAGAGCAAAATATCACTAAAAATGGTCTTTTGGGACTCAGACACATTGAGACTCGACAGGCAGTCACTATCTGACAGCAGAAGCTAGAATTTCTGGACTTAATGTTACACAGCGCACTATTTAGCTAGGGAGAACGGAGCTGTTTGGGACTCAGCCTGGGTTTGACGCTGTTTCTGACTGAAACACGGACATTTGAAGCGTGTAGGACATTCAGGTGACATTCTTTAGACTTTTATTCTGCCGTTTTACAGTGAATCATATTGTGAGTACTTTAATTCAAGCCTGTGATATTAATGTTGGAGCTGTTTAGGCTGTTGGCTCTTTTATCCTGTTGGCTAGCTGACCAGCCCAGTTCTAGATAAGAAAATACATTTTCAGTTCCTCAGTTTAAACAGAACCGGGTTCTTATTTTATCAGTGCACTCGGTGCTCCGTGCGATCAGCATTAGAGTCAAATATTAATCCATTAACAGCAGAAGGGTTTTCCATGCCGTAGCGCAGTAATACAGTGTTCAGTTGCTGCGAGGCGGTCATAGCCGTGGTATATCGTGGATTTTGTAATGGCTTCGAACGCGGCTCAGCCAATCAGATTTTAGGACCGGAACGATCCATTTTATAAACATCAATAACCTTCGATTTGCGGATGATAGGACATAATGAAGGAAGTTGAAGAGCAGAGTGTGAAGATGGAGCACATCAGCATGAAGGAAACAAAAGCGATGATGATGGGAAAGGCCGTCAAATTTACCACTGATGGAGATAATGTAGAAATGGTGGACAGCTTTGGCCACTCAGGTCATTTAACAGAACCGACTTGACGGCTTGGAAATACAGTTCTGGTAATTGGTGTAGAACCATTACATTATGTGGAACGGGTGTGCAAATTTGGTCTGACAAATTCTGGAGGGGAACCAGCATCAGGAGCCTCGAGCTTTCATGCAGCAATTCAAACATAAAACTGTGTAAACAAAGCTCACCCACAATTACAGTTATCATATTAATATGACTTGCTTTATATGACAATACAAGAACAAATAATAGTATTAACATGAGTAATGATATCATACATGATCAGTGTATAGATTCAGTTTTGTTGCCTGTTGCACTGGAGGTTCTTCATTATAAAGAGGTTCTTCATAAATAAAGAGATGAAAGTACTGAAAGAGTGTTTTGAACATTCCAGTACTGAACTTTCCTACATTGGGCAACTGCCTTCATTGCACACTAGGAGGCACTGTGACTCAAACCACCAGTCTCACTCAGTGAAGCTGCACTGTTCAGCCTCAGGTACTAATGCTGTACACAGAACGGACTTTAGGTTGTGTGTATACCCTTCCAGACGTCTCTACTGCGTCTGTCTTATCTGCTGTGGGCTATAAGGTGCTGCTGCGACCCGTCAGCCACAAGTGAGGACCTCAGCGTGATCATGTGATGAGTGGGGGGCGGCGTGACATCATGTCTGCGTTCTCTGTTTCTTCCCGACTGTTATCTAAGGAATTCTTGCCCTTATAGAGGAGCATGAATATCTGCCCTTATCTGAACACGTCTCACCATCTCACCATGCAAGACAGCCCTCCATTTATGGCAAAAAAAGAACATATATATATATATATATATATATATATATATATATATATATATATATATATATATATATATCACTGCTGTTGGAACAAAACCTTTTATCTCCAAAATGGTAACTTTACAGGAGAAGGAAAAAACCTACTTTACTTTTAATGTAAGTCAATGGAACCAGAGTTTTTACCAAGTACTTTTGGGCCGTTTCTTTCAGTCCATTCTTCATGAAATTCTGACACAATGTAAAGAGCAGCAGGTATATCATCCCCTTGGAATAATAAGGTTCTGTCTGCGTTCTGGGCAGATTTGAGATATTGAGCTTCAAAGATTTTGTATTTCATATAGCAAAACTGATATGTGGAACACGCCTCATTCATACATGACAATGACAGACACACTAAATGTTTTCTAAATGTACAATATCAAAATCCTATCATATTTGTAAATGAGGGTTTTTGGAACAGGCCAAATGCTGAGAGAACCTTCTAATCCTAAGAACTCACTTTCGGCTTGGAGTTATACGGTTCTATGTGACAAAACATTAAAATAAGCAACGATTTTCAAGGAACACAAACAGTTTACACACTTCATTTGTTTTTAAAATTAAAAAGAGTGTAACAGTGTCTACATTATCCGAAAGTTAAACTTGACGCCTTCTGTGACATTTTATGACATTAATTTTTATCATGTATTTATTTATTAAGACATTCATTTCTTGTTTTAGGACAAATCATCTTTTTCCTTTAAGTATAAAGGTTAGTGCTAAATATTTTGTACTGCAATAAACCCTCCCAGCAGGTCAGTGTAGCCGGTCAGTGGAACATTATGGCACCTTAGTTAGAGTTTGATTTTGGAGATTTTTTTTGTTTTCCAGATAAAGAGTCCAAAAATGCAGACAACTTAAAAAAACAGATTAAGATGTGAAAAACTCCATTTTGCCAAAAATGTCAGAACCATATAATTCCAAGGGAACATTATATGCATCTTCATGTCCTCTGCCATTGTGTTAATGAAAATTACACAACTAAATGTAAAATTTAATTTTTCTTTATTGAGTGAGTCACTCTTTACCTTCATTCCAGCTTCTATTCTTTTCAGGAGACTCACTTTCAGTTTCTCAAAGAATCTGCAGACACACCTCCAGTTCAGTGATGTTGAGGTCTAGACTCTGGGGCGGTCAGTCCGCTGTGTTGGTGCGTGCTGTAGTTGAGCTTGTGTGCAGTGGAAATGGTTATATTTCCAACATTGCCGTCTTAAAAGCATTGAGTTTGATTTTTAAAATGGTTTAGCAACCCTGAAAGAATTAGAGCAGCCCCCATGTGTCCCTGGTACTGTACACTCTTAAAGATGGTTCTGTGTAGAACCATGAGCACTTAAATAACTATTTGCATGGTGAAGTGGTTTTGAGCTTGATGGAGAATGTATTGTGTATGACTCCATATAGCACCAAAAAGGGGTCTGTTATTGTTCCGATGCCAAGTTTGTGGCAGTAGCAGAGCCCTTTTTGGTGCTATATAGCACCATTTTCAAAAAGGTTCTGCATAGAACCATGTACAACACAGTCACCATCAATCTGAAGAATGATGTCACCATGCAAAGAACCCTTCTAGCATGCGAGTGGTTATTTGAATATTCATGGCTCTATATAGAACCATTGTCTTCACTAACGAACCCTTGAAGAACCATCTTTTTGTAGTGTAGCGCTGGCATGCAAAACAGGCAGTGGTGCTTTAAGTAAAAGTCATTTTATAGTAGGATCTGTAGTTTTAAACCAGCTCCTGTTTGCTTTTGTAAGTGATTCAGCTTCACCGAATTGGTTTTACAAGTGATAACATGACACTTCTTATAGTTCAGGCTGTTCTCTCTGCATTACTTGACCTGTTTTAAGATAAGATAATACAAGATGAGATAAGAAAAACCTTATAGTCCATTAGATTTGCATGAAATGGAAATTTGTCCTCGGCAATCTGGCACATAAATGCATAGAGAAATACTTAAAACACTTAAAACAATTATAGCAACAATGCACATGAACCATGTAGGGAGGTTATTTATTGTGTCCTTAGTCAGAACGGTCACAGCAGAGGGAACAAATGATTTTTTTGTACCCATTCTTTCTGGCTAGTGGGACCTTGAATCTCCTGCCCAATGGCAGCAACTGGAATAATGAATGAGTAGGGTCCTTGTAGCCCTGGGTTGCCTTTTTGGTTATGGATCGGATGTATAGGTTCTGGAGTGACAGTTGTTTGTCTCCGGTGATCTTACTGGCCAGGTTGACCACCTCGGCCAGCTTGTTTCTTTGCTTGAAAGTAAAACTCTTTTTCTTGACTTGTCTTTGGAGCTTCACTGTCTTTTTCTGCTAGTATTGGAAGAGGAACAACAGGGCTGTGAAAGAGTCCCATCGTTTATTTCATTTCCAGTCAGTGCAGCCATTGAGTACTAGTTATATTGAATATAATTTTCTAGAATCAGAGGCTGGAAAAGTGTGGCCGGCAGTCGGTGATAGGACCATGAAGAATGGGGGGAGTGGCCAAGCAGGAGGCTGGACCACATGAGGGGGGTGGCTGGGCGGAGCTGGCTCCTGTTGGTTGGTCTCCTTTTACACAATCCTGCCATATGGGCTATTTTAAAAAGGCATGCAGTGGCACCTGGCAGTTTACCGCAGAAAGGGCAGGAGATCGCTGCCCTTCAGCTTCAGCTGACGGAGGGAGGGAGTTGTATCAGTTGGATGAGTGCAGGCCAGGCCGGCATCAGCTCTGAGAGCGGTTCCTCAGGCACAATGTGTGGAATTTGCATGAGTAACTCTTCCGCTGGCAGGGGCAGTATGTGACCGCCCGCCTGGAGAAACGGAGAGTCCTTCCCTTCCTGTGGGTTCAGAAACAAAGCAGCGGGCATCCTCTGGCACCTACTGGAGTGGGACAGTGGTTACCCAGACATTGTTCAACAAAGAATTAGAGGAGGATGCCAGAGTAAAGAGTCTTCATTTTCCAAGAAACTGGACATCCCAAAACTCCTTTTGCTCCGGGACTCAGGGTTAAGACCGTCATCATCTCCTTCGTCAGAGAGTCGAGCTTTCTGACCTTTCTCGAGTTTGCATGATCCTCAAACAGCAGCAGAGCAGGATCCCACCGCCTCGCAGTCTCCAGTCTAAGGGGCATGCGCTATCAGCCGTCCCCGGGTGAGGCATGTCGTTCCCTTTGAAGAGGTTCGGCAGTCTCCGGAGGAGCAAGAAGCGCAAGGACCAGGAGCAGCTGAGCAGGAGGCGGCAGTCCGAGCCCCGGTGTCTCCCTGGTACTGTAGCTTTGGCGTTTCCTTCAAATTTTTTTGTGTTAGAGCAGGGGTGCACAACTCTGGTCCTGGAGGGCTGGTGGCCTGCAGGGTTTGGTAGTTTCTCTACTCAAACACACCCACTAAACCTGGCAATTAATAGATGAGTGAATCACCTAACCAGGACCAGAGCTGTGCGCCCCTGCTTTAGAGTGTCCACTCTTTACCTTCATTACAGCTTCCAGTCTTTTAAGGAGAGTCACTTTCAGTTCCTCAAAGAATCTGCAGACACGCCTCCAAAGTTCAGTCTTAGAAGCTGGTTGATCATTTTCTGAAGTAATCAAACACATTCAGTGGTGTTGAGGTCTGGACTCTGGGGTGGTCAGTCCATTGTTCAGCTTCTTTGTTTGATGTGTCCGTCTCCTTTTCTCAGTGAGGTTCTACTTGATCAGCTACACATCCTTTCAGACCCACAGCGCTGAGTCGTCTTCTCACAGTGGAAGGATGGACAGAAACACCTGTGGATGTTTTCAGATCTGAAGCAGCTTGATTTTCTCCTCTCTCTCAGAAATGAAAGCTTTAAGTGCTGTTTATCTGATGGGGGCAGTTTTGGGGTCTACCAGGTCTTCCAGGTGGTTGTTAGGAGGCACATATTCTCTGTAGCTTTTTATCTTTTTTTTGAACTCCAGTTTTGGAAACCCCTTTTTTTAAGTGCAAGTGAATTATCTCATGTCTGATCTACTTAGAAATAGCTCCAACAACGATAACTTGAACTTAATGACAATTTTGACTAGAAATTAAATAAGTAAAAGGGGTTCTATGACTTTTGCACAGCTCTGTGATGCACAGAACAGTGTGTGTTGTGCATGTAGGTCTGTTGCATTCAGCTCTGCCAGTAAACGCTCAAAGAATGCACTACAAATACTGAGAGAAATCAATTCCATCTGGTGTAAAACATTGCCAGAGTGCCCTGGCAGCACCTCCCAGGTCTCGGTGGAGCATTAGCAATCCTCTACATGTCTTTGAATTCTCCCATGATTCAATGTCCTGCTTCTTTGAGTTTTCTCAAGCTCTTTAGACCTTGCAGATATGCATTCCCTTCCTTTGAGAAGCTTGTAAAGACTCAAAACGTCGTGCTCAGCACAAAGCAGGCCATGCTGCTGGACCTTTGGCCTCCTTTGGCTAATGGAGAACATCAGCAATAGAGTTGTATAAGTCTGTTTTACCAGTTGTTCTAAACGTGCGTAATGAAATGTTTACGATGTAAACAACGTGGTTTGGTGTGAAATGATAAGTTTCTCTAGAATGGAGCATTTCACACCACAGTTCTTTACTGAGTCAGAACCGTTCACACTGGTGGTGATAGGAACCAGACGCCCACCTCTAAAAAACTCCCTCACAGAAAGTTACTACATGAAATGGTTATGTATTCACTGAGATATTGTATTGCGCTTGTTTGGAGAAGGTTAAAGGTTAGTTATGAGACAAAATCGTCCCCAAAAAACATAACTCTGATTTCTTTACAGTGGTGGTGATCTAAGTTAGGACTTAACAATATGACAATATTCATCATTATCATGATAAATAACATCACAGTATGTCACTCTGTGCTTTTCTAATCAGGTCATGGATATCGTCAGTACTATGACACTTCCTTAATGCATGTGTGGTTAAAAGAGATCGTAATTAGTCCTGTTTGATTTGATTTGATGTGAAATGTTGAACACAAATTTTTGCATTTATAGTTCTTGATAGTATTTTTTCAACGTGGCTTTACTTTGTCTTTTTTAACTAAGCAGATGTGACAAAAAACATTGACCTTTCATGTATATCTAAAAGGAAGCAGGATTTGCAATGTCTACGATGCAAATATAGCCATTTTATTTACTGTCCAAAACCACCAGTGAACCTACACAAGTTTTATATGGAATGTTGATGATAAAATAGTGGAAAATCTGAAAAAGTAATATGTTTTCTTAGGGGCTTTTTAGCCTCCAGTGCCCTGAATGCATTTTAAAAATACATTTTAGGAAAAAAAAAACTCAAAATTAGCGTAAAACAAAGTCTCAGACATCTGGCAGTGAATTCATAACCATGTTATGTAATAACTTGCTATGTGGGAGCTTTTAGAGGTGGACGTCTGGTTCCTATCACCACCACTGTGAACAATTTTGACTCAGTAAGTTTCTCTAGAACGGAGCGTTTCACACCAAACAGCTCTGAATGACTCTGTTTACATCTTAATCCTTTAATTATGTAGAAATTTGGAAACATTAGAAAGTAGAATTAGAATTAGAAATTCCCCTTTAGTTCCGCTGTACAGAAATGATATAGCTGTGTTTGACTGTGTAGTTGGTGTTGAGGCCTGCCTGCTGGTCTGTTGCTGTTAGGACAGTGCCATTTAGCCTCTGTTCACCCTCCAGCAGTCTATTTTTGTAGGTCAAACTTTATTAAAATAGATGGCCTAGTCACAGCCCTGCAGAGGAGCAGGCGCCTACAGTAGGCTGTGTGGAGTGCTCTGAGCTGTACTGTAAGAGAGACTGGCTCAGGTCCTGATTTGGAACAGGACTGACCCCGACCCTCTCAGCTGACTCAGGCAGCACGGACCACAAGCTTTCTCTAAGGGGAAACCAGGAGAGTGTTTCAGTCACCTGACTTCTTAGGTGAGCTGCTGATGTTTATGAGGGACGTTTTACATGTTTCTGTCTTATGTTTTTGTTTCTGAGCAATACTTTAGGTCAGGGGTCGCAACCCAAATGGTAAGAAGAGCCAATTTGTCCTTTGAACAAACAAAACAAACCACCTTGGGAGCCACAACATTTTATGTCTGTTTTTTTGGTGTAACGCAGGACTGACGAACCAGGACTGACGCTTGTGGATATAAAACAAACCATGAGGTTGATTAAAAGGCTATTATTGACCAAATTGACCAAATGGACAGAGTTTACACCAAACCAGGTCAAAAACCGGAACAGCAAAACATGATACGTGGGAGGGAAGGCAATAACTGAAGCAGATAAACAAGCGAGGCTTGAAACCAATGAGCCAATACGCAGGTAATCTTAGCCAAAAGGGGAAATCCGAGAGTCGGCAGCGAGAAACAAAACAAGGTCATAACAGGATATCTAGCAAAACAGGAGAACGGCTCGGGACACGCTGACAAGACAGGCAGTACTTCGTAAAGACGGAGTGAAACAGGTGATATCAGTACTCAGGTGACTGGGATCTGCTGGTTGATGGGTGATTGGTTGGTGGAGTTACATGACAAACTGAGGCATCTTGGGAATTGGAGTTGGTAAGACATTGTGAGTCACACTGAGAACCGGGAAGCGTGACTATTGAAGTAACATTTCACCATCTTGGCTGTAAATCTGTCTCAGTGTGTGCTGATGTTCTGGTATAGACTAAAAATATAATATAAATGAAAACACAGACTTGCTTTGCTCTGCTTTAAGCTTTAGCTCAGCTACAGCTGCTTTTCTCGCATCTCCAGCAGGAAACTTTTCCGCAAAAGTAGAACAGTTTCTTGTAAAAGTCTCTCAATGTTCGACTTTTCGAATTCGAACTTTCCCATTCCACCTTAAATGGTGCCTGAGGCCCAAAACGGGGCAGTCAAAGAGCCGCATGTGGCTCCGGAGCTGCACGTTGCCAACCACATTCTAGGTCATCAGTTCTCAAACAGGTCCTCTGGGCAACCTACACATTTAAAAAAGATGGTTCCTCAAAGGTTTTTTAGTGAAGAAAATGGTTCTATATAGAACTCTTTGCATGATTAAATGGTTCTTTGCATCATCAAAACGTTCTTCAGACTGATGGAGAATGTGCTGTAGACGGTTCTGTATAGAACCTTTTTGAAAAGGGCTCTGTATAGCACCAAAAAAGGTACTTCTATTGTAAAAAGCTTGACACTGTAACAATAGCAGAACCTTTTTCATCAGTCTGAAGACCACTGACGATGCAAAGTATCGTTTAATCATGCAAAGGGTTCTTTGAGTGTTCATGGTTCTACATAGAACCATTTTCTTTACTGAAGAACCCTTGAAGAGTCATCTTTTTTAAGAGTGTAGATTGTGCACATTCTTGCTTAAGCTGAACTCAAACTCGGTGTGATGCATCGAAGAATCTGTTATTTTTCCCACCCGTATTTACATCGTATGTGTTTATATACGCAGCCGTCATGGCTGCCCTGCCTCACCAACTGCTGAAGAAGAAATACAGTGAGTGTCAGTTTTAGACACTGTTCCTCGGACGTTACTGCATATATCAGTTCACATCAGTCAACATCTAGACTCTTTCTCAGAGTGTAACTCAGGCTCAGGACACGTCGTCATGGCTGCGGTTCAAAAATCTGGAGCTGGAGGTGTTGAACTTTCCTGAAGAGTGGAAACGGCCACTGCCGACATATCAGGGTGTGGGCAGAGGTGGAGGACCACCTTTCCCGGAAGGCACCGTGGCGTTACGATCGTTGTTGCCTGGTACATCGAGTGCCACTTTAGACACCGTCGACCTTCTAATGATCATCATCAGAACTCTCTGACACTGGTGTTACACAACGTAAGAGCAACTCAGCCAGATCAGCTATTTTTACACCAACCAGTGTTCACACTTAGTGCAGCAGAGTTCCAGAGAAAAGGAAAGATGAGATTTCAGCGGGAGTTGCTGGTTTAGGAGACGAATAGGCCTGCCTCCAGGATCTCTACGCTCAGCCTAACGTAGTCAGGGCCCGCCAGCCTGCGCACAGTTCTATTACACACCTCTATAACCTAAGAATAGCTCAGCCAGTTTGCATTGCTGTCCGTGTAGTTACTGAGTAATAAGCCTTAGTATGTAGTAAGGCTGAGATTTTAAGGGGTTAAAGTGACAAAGGACCCAAATTGACCCAAAAGATTCAGGATGGTTTATTAGCTTATTATAGTTTATTTGTGGTATCAGTTGATCGGCTCATAGTAGCTTTAATTAGCTTTAATTGACTAATCGTAGTTATAGTGAACCGATTAATCGACATCACAGTGAGCTGATTAATCGATTAAATGAAGCCACATCAAACATATTAATCGAAGTCATAATGAACCGATTTATCTTTGTGGCTTCAATTAATCTGTTCATTAGTGCTTCGAATAATCGATTAATCGGTTCATTTTGGTGTTAATCAGCTCGTAATAGCTTTAATTCATCTTTTCATTATGTCATTGGTTAATTGACTAATCGTAGTTATAGTCAACCGATTAATCGACATCACAGTGAGCTGATTAATCGATTAAATGAAGCCACATCAAACATATTAATCGAAGTCATAATGGACCGATTTATCTTTGTGGCTTCAATTAATCTGTTCATTAGTGCTTCGAATAATCGATTAATCGGTTAATTTCAGTGTCAATTAATCAGCTCATAATAGCTTAGTTCCTTATGTCATTGGTTAATCGATTAAGCAAAGTTATAGTAAACTGATTAATTGACATCACAATGAGCTGATTAATCAATAAATTGAAACCACATCAAGCATATTAATCAAAGTCATAATGCACCAATTTATCATTGTGGTTTCAATTAATCTTTTTATTAGTACTTAGAATAGTCGATTAATCGGTTCTTTGTGGGGTTGATTAGTCGGTTCATTTGTGGCGTCATTTGATCAGCTCATAATAGCTTCGATTAATCTTTTCGTTATGTTATTGATTAATTGATTCATCGACATCACAATGAGCTGATTAGTCGATTAATTGGAACATATTAATGAAAGTCACAATGAACGAATTAACCAATTATGGAAATCATTGTTACTTGCAGATCTAGATTGCAATATCATTGTGCATCCCTAGGAATAATACCTTATAATCAAATTAAGAGCAGTGGAAGGGCCAGGTCTGGTAAATAAACACAAGCGCAGAATTTTACACAGAAGAAACGGTAGTAGTTCAGAGCAGCTTAGCGCCGAGTGCTGGCCTGGCCGGCTTATCTGCTCCTGTGGAATGTGTAGCAGCGGCAAGGCTAAAATAAGAAGTTAACACGGTGACACACCAAACAGGCCACGGCCAGCTGGCAGAATGAAGCTAAATGTCAGGAGATAGCAGGGATTCCAGAGAGGCGCAGACCTTTCACACTCAGCACAGCGCGGTTCTCATAACTAGTTTTCTTCTAATATACCGATATATACTTTCAGCAGGAGAACCGAGACCACTCTGAGGGAACCGCGTCAGCTGTCGTCTCTGAGATCCTGAGATTGTTTAAAGGTCCTTTTCATGGAAACCTGAATTTTCCCCCCCTGTCTCGGAATACAAAAACATGTGATGTTCACACTTAAAAAAGGTGGTTCTTTAAGGGTTCTATATGGAACTGTGAACAGTCAGAGAACCCTTTGCATGATTAATGGTTCTTTGCATTATGAAAGAGTTCTTCAGATTGATGGAGAGCATGTTTTACATGGTTCTACATAGAGCCTTTTTAAAAAAGGCTTCTGTATAGCACCAAAAAGGGTTCTTGACAAGGCTTGACATCGTAATAATAGAAGAACCCTTTTTAGGTGCTATATAGAACACTTTTCAAAAAGATTCTAGAAAGAACCATCTCCATCAATCTGAAGAACCATTTAGCGAAGAACCCTGTAATCATGAAAGAGGTTCTTTGAGTGTTCGTGTAGTATGTAAACATGGATTAAAAGTGAACACATCCTCTACAGGGAAAAAACTTCTGTACATTTTAATACACAATTAATATTGATTTGCTGAATTCATCAAATTGGGGGAAATATAAAACATAAATTTTGACTTGTGCAAAAGTTATGGCACTTTATGTGTGGATGGTTATACCAGTGCAGTGGCTAAATAAAGGCGAAACGATGAAAAGTGATCATGTGGCACATGAAAGAGAACAAAAGAATAAGAATTTGCGTAATATTGGGGCTTATTAAGTTAGCACAGTATTCAGTAACATCAAGTTTAGCTAAAACGGTCATTTTTTAATGATTGGTAATGCAGACACAGTTGTAGGTACTGCAGAGTGTTTAAGAGCCACTGACCAGTCAGTACCACAACACATTTTTGACCCATTTACATAATAAGGTAAGCATGTGTCCTGGTTTGATAGTTGAATTATGTGTGGATTCTGGATTTATGTAAGGAACTGCAGACACTCTCAGAAATAAAGGTACTAATCTGTCACTGGGTCAGTTCCCCTCTCATCACTGGGGTGGAACCCTCAAGGGTTCATCTCAGTACCTTTAGTCAGGGAACATAACTGAACCATAATCCACTGAAATGATATGTTCTAAGCTGTACTGACTCCACACACCCCGTCTCGTCTCCAGGCTTTTATTCTACTGTTCTGTTTTAAAACATTCGGTTATGAAAAGGTACAAATACGAACTTTTCACCTGGAAAAACTTATTTAAGGTTCACAATCAGACCTTAAAACCACTGTTGTACCTTTAAGGGAACATTTACACTGTTTGTACCTTGATGAACGGAAAATGTACCTGCACTGTACCTTTGTTTCTAACAGTGTATTTAAACCTGTTTACAATTACGGTTTGTCTTCTGTCCTGTATTTCTGTAAGTATTGTGACCTTTGCCTTGCTTTAACCCCCTAAATGGCCCAAAGTTTATTACACACTTCAATAACCTAAGAATTACTCATCCGGTTTGCAATGGAGTCCCTGTAGTTACTGAATAATGTAGTAAGTGTGGGATTTTAAGCTGTTAAGTACGTTAAAGGACACTTTGTTTACCTCTTAACCGTTTAACTGTGCAGAAAATTTGAACAATGTGTTCCTCTTAAAGCCGGGCAGCAGGTCAGCCATGTTTTCCGTGCTCTGTTCTATATGTGAAGGCGGTCAGTGGTGTAACTGTGTCCTCAGGGTGAGTACAGTAATATGTCAGTAGGGCAGCTATGTCAGCGGGGGGTGAGAAGGTCATGTGTCAGCCGGTGCCGGGGGCGGCGTTTGTGACGACTGTCATGTGATCTGCACTTGTTTTCTGTGATATTTCCAGTGCAGAGGGCTGGAAGGAGGAGTCTTGTTTATTTACATCAGCATCACTGATCTGCTGCACTCAGTGCTGAGCTGAGCTGCCCTCAGTGATCAGCTCCTCTGTCTGTGCTTACATGCAGATTTTTGCCGATCCAATTGAATTCATTCCGATTACAGATTCAGACTGAGGTGTTTATTCTCACTCTGCTCAACAATCTGATGAAAATCTCTGTTTACATGCTCACCACAAGTAATCCGATCCAAAATTACACAGATATATAAAGAACCGCTTAGTGTAGACGTTACCATGACAACCAGCATCATGTGAGTCCAGTCAGAGTGAGATGAGCAGCAGTGAGCAGTGCTTGTGTTTTTAATTGCTTTAAAATGATGTCAGACTCAGGAAAACGTCCTTCACATGTCCTTATTAAAGAAGGCCGAGAGGAAGACGTCGTGTTCTGAGACACATAAGCTGGACGTCCGTCCCACCGTCGTCTTTTAAAGATCAGAGCATAAACTTCGTCTCCTCTGCAGACCAGTTTCTGCTCCGCCATGTTGAACGGTATAAACTTTCACTATGACGCGACGAACATGATCAGAACGGACTTAAACTTTCCGATAGGGAATGTAATCAGATACAGGCGTTTACACGGATATTATTCTTCTATTTAACGGATTATTTACAGGATTACCCACCTCGATCAGTCGGATAGAAACTGTATTCCGAATGGCCTCAATCAGACTAGACTATTCAGATTGAGGTGTTTACATGGACGTGTTTTTTCGTGACTGAGCTATTAGTTTTATTAACGGATTATTAAAGGATTATCAGGCTGCACTTTGAGTTTTAATCCAGAAGCCAAAGTCTGACTGGATAAATGAAATCTAAATAAATAAACTAGTTAGTTTATATCGAAGTCGGTGTCGTTTTAAAATTATCATTAGATTTTGGTTTTTGATTTCAGTTTAGTTTCAGTTTATTAGTAACAGTAAACAGTGACATTAAAAGTAACAGTTTTAGGTTTAGTTTTTTTTCCCCCCAATTTTCTCAAAGATGTTTTTGGGGATGCGTGATTATATTGGAATCTCAGTATTGACAGATAACCGCTTATATGTTTAGATTTGACTGATATTTTGTTGTGTGTTTATTAAGACAATGTTCAGGTGGCAGTGGGCTTTTTTGCTGCATATGAACCCCTTAAGAAATAAATGGTAAATTTCTAATCCTGCTAGATGAAAAATGATGATGATTCAGCTCTGGAACCACAATTTCCACATCAGTGCATGCTTAAGGTTTTTCCACTGGATTGCAGTTCTTTACTCTTGCTCTTCTGCAAAGGTCTTTAAATCAGGACCTACCAGTGATTACAAAATCCAGGAGCGGAAAACAGGTCCAAGGTCTGGATTTGAAGAGCCTTTAGGATCTTCTGAATGTAGGAATCAGGTGTACTTGATTTGATTGGTGGAAGTGGGTGAATTTGATCTGAATGGGGGAATCAGGTGGATCCCTGATGTAGCATTTGAAAAAGAATTGCAATAAATGTCAGAAAGAAGAGTTAATAAATACATTATCTCTAAAAAGCTGTATGTTTATACAAAGTTAACAATGTTTTTTGGCCTGTTTGGTGAACAGACAATGCATTTGCTGCCGTTAATCCAGGAATACATTGGAATTATCATAATAATGCCTGATAAGATTAAGATAACACTGAAAAGTGTGAAACTGGATTTCATTAAAAGTAACTGCAGTGCCAGTCTTTGTCCAGTTAGTGTCCACCATGCTGTGCTAGTTAGCTTTTTCTGTGATTCATCATGTCCTGTTTCTCCTTTCTTCCCCTCCGTTTAGCCTCTGGGCTCTCGTCTCCCCCCAGCACACCAACGCAGAGCTCCAGCCCCCCCGTTTTTTCCCTGGACGCCCCCTGCAGTGCTGCGGAGCGGCTGGAGGAAAGACGCGCTCGCTCACTCTCCTCTCCTCCAGACACTGGCCAGCGCTTCAGCTTAGTGTCCAGCTACAGCAAACCCCCAATCTTCACCTCCAGCTCCTCGTCCTCTGCGTTCAGCCCCGCCCCTGCCACACTCAGCCCCGCCTCCTCTACCTTCAGCTCTGCCTCCCATCTGGTGAGTGCATATAACCCTTTTCTGTAATGCTAATGCTAATTTTGGGTAGCACTGCTGTGTAATTATTATGTTACGTTAGCATCAAGCTAACACTTGATTTAGTGGATTTAAAGGAATAATTTAGTGAAAAATTACAATTACATGATTTTTAGTAGATGTTTAGTAGTAACACACACACACACACACACACACACATTATCTAAGCCGCTTATCCTACTGGACAGGTTGCTAGTCCATTGCAGGGCAGATACACAGACATAAACAGTCACACACACATTTAGTAATAATAGAGAATAATTATTATAATAGGCAATATTATTTATTATAAATGGCTGTAGCTTGGCCTCCATGGGCTCTCCCAGGTCTGGCTGTAGATTGGCCTCCATGGGCTCACCCAGGTCTGGCTGTAGATTGGCCTCCATGGGCTCACCCAGGTCTGGCTGAACGTTGGCCTCCATGGGCTCTCCCAGGTCTGGCTGTAGGTTGGCCCCCATGGGCTCTCCCAGGTCTGGCTGTAGGTTGGCTTGCATGGGCTCTCCCAGGTCTGGCTGTAGGTTGGCCTCCATGGGCTCTCCCAGGTCTGGCTGTAGGTTGGCTTGCATGGGCTCTCCCAGGTCTGGCTGTGGGTTGGCCTCAGCCAGCCTCCATGGACTCACCCAGGTCTGGCTGAACATTGGACTCCATGGGCTCAACCAGGTCTGGCTGTGGGTTATCCTTCATGGGCTTGCCTAGGTCTTGATGTTCATCAGCCTTCTTGGGCTCATCCAGGGCGTGATGTTCATCAGTCTCTAAGATCTTCTCGTCCTAAGACCAGGCCTCCAGACTTGAAATTAGCTGGCTGTATATCTCTGTCCATGATGCTGACTGTGACAAGTCTGCCTGGTTCACCTCCATTGGCTGATCCAGGCATAGCTATAGCTCAACCTCCATGGGCTCACCAGGTCATGCTGTAGATTGGCATCCATGGGCTTGCCCAGGTCTTGATGTTCATCAGCCTTCTTGGGCTCACCCAGGTCTGGCTGAACGTTGGACTCCATGGGCTCAATCAGGTCTGGCTGTGGGTTGGCCTTCATGGGCTTGCCTAGGTCTTGATGTTCATCAGCCTTCTTGGGCTCATCCAGGCCGTGATGTTCATCAATCTCTAAGATTTTCTTATCCAAGGACAAGGCCTCCAGACTTGAACTTAGCAGGCTGTAGATCTCTGTCCATGACACTGACTTTAACAAGTCTGCCTGGATCATTTATGTTGTCTGGAGAACCTCATTCCGCCACTAATTTTTGAAAGATTTCAAATATTGCTGCTAGCAGAGCTTCAGATTAAACTAATCAGTGTGTTATTCTCTTGAGCGTTCTCTCTAAAAAGATCTGCACAGGGCCAGTGATGTAGATTAGAATGTGGTGTAAGCTCTGTGATATCGTAAAGAATTTTCATGTACCGTAGTTCCGATGGATTGGAACGTTCTGAAGGACCGTGGATTGACCGATGATATCACGGTTGCACTGCTACCAGTTTGGTAGGCAACATCAGGTTCATTCAGCAGTGCTGTGGCTGTTTGTGATAATAAAGCCATAACCGATCCAGCAAATGCAGTAAAACGTGTTTTTTATATCACTTTTTAAATCCAATTGTAAAACATGTTAAGGGACACCGTGTTAGATCAGCCAGTGAGACATGCTGCTCATTAGCTGCTCATTAAACATCTCTAAGAGAAAGTTTGAGGCATTTGTTGATTAAGAAGCAATTGTTGAGGTACGTTGATGCTATATTGAGGAACACTGCAAAAATGTATATCTTAAAAAGAGAAATCATTTGAACATCTAAATAGTCTAAATATCTAATATTTCTCTTTTTAAGATAGTTGTACAAATATTATAAGATTATATTACATATTATATAAATTATAACTTATTTCTAGATGTTTTTTACTTGTTTAAAGTAATTCTATGAAGTAAAATTATCTCACTATATAGGCAGATCATTGTGCTTGTTTCAATTGAGTTTCATGAGTTTATTATTTAAGAGCTTTGGCAGTTTTGGAGAAACGCAGGTTATACAGATCCAGTCCACCTGTCTAGGTAAAGCGTCTAGCTAAATCATTTTCATCTGTTTTGCTTGGTTTTTTTATCCACCTGCAGGGCTGTATCTGCAGTATATGGTTGTTGTAGTGTAGTGGGTAACTTCTACGCTGTAGACTGGGGTTCAGTGCCCCGCCTGGGTAACCACCCTACACTATACCAATAAGAGTCCTTGGGCAAGACTCCCAACACTACCTTCGCCTACCTGTGTAAATTGATTAAATTATAAGTCGCTCTGGATAAGAGTTTTTTTTTTTTTAAGTTCAAATCGTTTTTGTGGTTGTTAATAAAGGTTCACTCTTTTAAAAATAAATAAATACCTGTCCAAAAAACGTAAAATTGAACGATCAGTACTCGTTTTTTTTTAAAAGGTAAATAACGCATATGTATAGCTTATTGTAACACTGACACTGTTCATTTACAGTAACAGAATGTAAATTCACAAAATGAGCACCTTTATTTCACAGACATTTGCCTTTATTTTATTGGTTGTTAATGTGATTATTGTAGTAAAATTCTGTATTTCAAAAAACTACTTGAACTAATAAAACTGTTTAGGCAGTTTTTTTAAGGAATTAAATGAGCGTTATTTTATAGGCTTTTACCGTCTGAGAAATCATGCTTTTACTGTTGATTAACGGGTAATTAACGAGACTTAGTGCGTTTGCATGCACTTAATAATCTGATAGCTGCAGAAAATCAGATTTTGTCAGTAATGCGATCAATGCATTTACATGCACTTGATTAATCAGATAACAAGGAAACTCCGAGGCTACATGAGATCATCTAGAAGATGAAGAATATTTAAACCCTTCATTTTGTCAAGCATGTATTTGGTTTCAGAGTCGCTCCAAAAACGTTTTGCTGCGTCTCGCAGCGACGCTGCTCACTTATTTCTGGTACCACTGTCTGTTTTCGCACATGCACAGACTGAGAAATCTGAAAGAAATCAGAGTAAGAGTTCAGAGTTCACACTAAAATCCAGCTCTCTTTATCGGATTTCTTAATCAGATTTCCAGATCTAAGAAATCTGAAAATACTGTTTACATGACCATTCGAATATTCAGATAACTGCAGAAATCTGATTATGATCGGATTATTGAGTGCATGTAAACATACTCAGTGTAGCACTACTAAGTGAGGAGAATAAAAACAGGCCAATTTATGCTGAGTGTGCACTGCTGCACGTCGCCCTGTAAAACCTGAAATGATCATTTAAAAATCAGAGGTGTCTGGTTTCACTCACAGCCTCAAAAAGAAGAAAGTTTAGGCTTCAAATAATCTCTAAATCAACATACTATATATACAATAAACTGATGATTACAATAGAAAAAAATTCACTCACATCCTCAGAAACACATGCTTCACAAAGTTTAGACTGAGTCCTCTTTCAATCATTAGATTCATCCGCTCGGGGAAGGGGGCCAAAGCACAACTCGCATTATAAAATGTACTTCTTCATGCTGTGTGCAGTTACACATTTCCACCAGAGAGGTCTCCAAATCCCCAAATCTTACATAGTGCTGCTTTAAGTATCATGATAGGATGTTTTTTGCCCCTGGATCAGTGTGATACCATATCAGCTTGAAGAAGCCCAGTAGTTCAACATCAATACATTTGATTAGCACCGGCTGCTCAGGGTGACAATTCAAATCGCCTGGACAATAACGCTAAACATGTGGAGAGAGAATTGAATTATCGTCAGCAGCTTCTCTTCTCTGTAAATTTGTTTCTGACAAGCCTCCATGAACACGAGCCGGAGAGCATTTCCTTACACAGCTCCTACTTTTTACATACACCGATCAGGCATAACATTATGAGCACCTCCTTCTTTCTGTGCTCATTGTCCATTTTATCAGCTCCACTTACTATATAGGTGCACTTTGTAGTTCTACAGTTACAGACTGTAGTCCCCCTAAACTCCAGCAGCACTGCTGTGTCTGATCCACTCAGACCAGCGCAACACACACTAACACACCACCACCACGTCAGTGTTACTGTAGTGCTGAGAATGACCCACCACCCAAATAGTACCTGCTCTGTGAGGGTCCATGGGGGTCCTGACCACTGAAGAACAGGGTAACAAAGTATCAGAGAAACAGATGGACTACAGTCTGTAACTGTAGAACTACAAAGTGCTCCTATATAGTAAGTGGAGCTGATAAAATGGACAATGAGCGTAGAAACAAGGAGGTGGTCAGAATGTTATGCCTGATCTGTGTATATTTGAATTAATGTGCTTATGAATTAGAAATATTTTTTTTTTTTTCTGAGCTTCACTTATAAGGTTTCTTTGTTTTTTTTTGTACCAGAAACACGCTTAATTTATTACTGGATGACCGTTTTCCGCCCTCTTTGTATCTCTTAGTATTAAATAGGGTGTTTTTCTTACTGTGCCTTTAAGACTGATGTATGTAAATGAGCTCTGCTCTGATTGGCTGTCCTGCATTGTGCATCATTCAAAAAGCAGTCCAGGCTGAAACACTCCTTATAACTTCAATGTGAGTGGGCGGAGCTACACTGCTGTAGATGGGTTAGGCAAATGTGTAAATGTGTTGGTTTTTGTGACATCACAAAAACTCAATTCAAGCAATGTTTTTCTCAATATTGGCTCTTAAACGCAGACCTTTGATTTGAGAGACGGGAATCAAAGTCGCCCCTTTTCAGGCGTCTTTGCTCTTTAAACAAGGCTGGTGGTTTAAGATCAAAGGCTTGTCCCGGCCGAGTGGGCATGTCCTCTGTGAATGTTTGACCTGCTGTGTGGAGTATGTGCCACATGTGGAGTTGCAAGGACAAATTCAGGAGTGAGAGAACTTCACAAGGTAACCTGCTCTCTGCCCTTGAGCTCTGCTGGCCTTTAGCGTGGTCAGCAGAGCGCGTTCAGGAGGAGGAAGGTGCTGTTTTATTAGGTTCTCAGCGTTACGCTGCTGAGCTGGAGGTCGGCTCACTCTCCTGTATGTTTCCTCTGGTGGTTTAATATCCTGCCTTTCTTTTCTCTCACAGTCCTGCAGTGTAGCTGAAGGCATGCTGGAGAAACTTGAACTCGACGATGAAGGTGAGTGACTGAAAACAAAAATAGAGTGACGCTGACGTGTAGAAACCTCTTATCTCCATTTGACTTACCGTGGGTTACATTTTCATGATGAACTGACCAATCGAAACGGTCCAAAATGACTTCCTTTCATTCCAAGTTAATAATGTTTTTCCTTCTCCTGTGAAGTCGGTAACTTGGAGATACGAGGTTTTGTTCCAGCAGCAACTATATGCAATAATTTAAATCAGATGAAGGGACTTCCCAAAAAAAAAAGAACCCTGTTTTGTAAGATTCCTGCCTTTTTTACTCTTTTCTATCCTGTTAAATGAGTTATTATGAAGGACTTTGTCGTGATGGTCAGTTTAAAATGTTCTCATCTGTCCTTCCAGCGTCAGAGGAGCCAGACTGTGATATGTACGTGCGCTTTATGAAGTCCCACAAGTGCTATGACCTCATTCCCACCAGTTCAAAGCTAGTGGTCTTTGATACCACACTGCAGGTACTAGTCCATTTGTTTCCTCTGCGTCAAAGGTCAAATCACATTGTAAGTGTAAATAACTGAAAAACATCCTCTACAGACACATTTTAGTGCACAGTCACTGTCTGTTTTACTGAATTTAACATAAAACATACAACGTGAGGAGTGCCATAAGTTTTGCACATTCCATATGTTAATTCAGTAAATAAACAGTAACTGTTTTTACTGTTTATTTGCTGAATTTCACTTCCTATAAAAAGTGGCTTGTGTGAAAGTTGTGACACATTTTATATTTTATGTTTTATTTCTTTTGACCAACATGTTAAACTCAGCAAATAAACAGAAATTGTGAAAGAAAGAAAAAGTGTGAGTTTTATTACGCAGCTGTTTTCCCCACAGCTTGATAAATCACAACACTCAATGCGACTCTACAGTGATCTTGAAAAATAGCTTGAAAAATTTTGGTAACACTTCCTGTGAATGTCACGTTTGTAAGAATCTATAAACACATTTATAACATGTTACAATGCATTCATAAGGCATTATAAATATGGTTATAAAAATGCATTACACTGAATCACACTTTATAGACATGTTTATTATACATTATGAATTGTTATTATAATACATTATAAGTAGTGTTAATAACATGTTATGCTGTCAGTGCCAAAGAAGTCAGTCCCAGCTTGGAGAGTTAAAGACAAATACATTTATTTACACCCTGGATGCTCCAAAGTGGCTGTCCAGCCTAGAATTACTGCTACAATGTGCTTTTCTTACCCAGCGCTCTCACTTTAAATGTTACATTACATCACAGCAAACCAAATACCCATGAGCCCCTGAGTTATGAGTCATGAATGTGTTTGTGTTTATGTGTTTGAGTGTGTTTATAATGCGTTCATAAGGCATTATAAACATGGTTATAAATCTTTATAAAAATTAATTACACTTAATTACACTTCATACACTCTAACATCACTACACTAATGCTAATTTCTGCTAGCATTCTATTGGATACGCAGTGTTAAGTTAGCGCCAAGCTAACGGTGGTGTACATTGACTTTCCCACATTGGGTAAAACACTGTTGGCAGCTAATATGGTTTATTATACATTATATAATAAAAAAAGTCCTGAATATTCAGATGCTCCAGACAGGCTGTCCAGCCTAGAGTTACTGCTACAGTGAGCTTTTCTCACCCATCAGCCCCTCCCCTGAACCCCCTCTGACATCACACTGAGCGTGAAGTCACTGTGGAGAGAAGGCCTGGAGAGGGAGAGGCGAGATAGTAGAGTGCTGTCATTGTAATTTGTTCCCTCACTGGTTCTACATCAAGCGCTAGAACCCTTCAATCTGTAACATCACTACATTACACTACAGTAATGCTAATTTCAGCTAGCATTCTGTTGGATATGCAGTGTTAAGTTAGTGCCAAGCTAACGGTGGTTCACAAAACTTATATTTAGCAACTTTATTTTAAAAGTCATTCAAAAGAGCTTTTATCTTAACATATTTAACAAAACCTGCTCACTACAGGATAATCAGGTCCATTTTGAGGCCGATTTGCTCCTCCGGACATCCTCAGAAGGTCTCCAGATATCGGGGTGATCCGAAACAATGATCCTCCCAGATTATTCCGTGGTGGTGTTGGGCGTCTATAATCCAGTCTTTACTCCTCCAATCCACTCCTAGCGCAGTCCGGGCCCTGATTGTGAACCGTAAACAGTAAACGTGTTCAGTACGTACGACTCAGAATCCTGTTGTGTGTAGAAGCTGATTCCCTGGTGAGAAATGCGACGTTGACGTCATGAAAGATCATCAACCAATGAGAAACAAGCTGAATGCTTTTTCTGTGCAGAAGGCAACGCACCACCAGCATAGCAGTAACCTCGTTGTCATCCGCCGTGTTAGTTTAGACCTAAAGTCACGTTAGTTTGCAAGAAATCTCGCGATCTGTAAGTGTGTGATGATTCATTCAGGGCAGATCGTGTAGTGTGGAGACTTTGATGGCTAACAGCGATCAGGGACAAACAAATTCGGTGAAAAGTGTCGTTATGTGTGTGTGGAGTCTCTCGTTTTCAACATCAGTTGGGTTTTTTAAAGTCCTGTAGCGTTGGACAGGCATTAAGACGCTCAATGTTTCTGCCAATAATGGCAGACGGCAGTGAGGCAGTGAGGTCACTGATATATGGCACAAAAATCCATGAGCCTGATTGGTTAAATTCAAACTGACAAACCAATCAAATGTAAAGTATTGTTTATTATTTGTGTTGTGATTCATGCTTGTTAAATGTCTATTTTTTATTATTTATATAAGCAGGAGAGATGATGCATTTATATCAAAAATACGTGTGAGGGACAGATCTGGGTTTTATACAGTGATGGGCTAGTAAGAGTTAAACATGGTCATTTTTTGGCTCTAATGTGAAAGTAAGAGTGGTCATATCTGGCCAATCACATGTGTAATTAGTGAGAAACCAGCCAAACCAAATGGAACAGATTAAATGTCACAAAAACTCTGATTTGAACTTTAGAAAACAGCACCAAGTGTGGAAACCGCACCATCTGGTGGGTGAGGACGGAAATGCATTTTGGTGAAGTATTAGTCTAACAAGGGCTTAAGATATTAATAATAATAAAATGAAAGCTTTTGTTCCAAAAATGCTGTGTATCCATTTGGGGCAATTTTGAATTTTTGAAAAGAATAACATTATGCATAATTCATATGCATATAATGAATATTCATGTATGCATATATATAAACATTCCCCACATCATGGACTCCAGAGTCACAATTGCTTAAGAGCTGCTTCAGAAACTGAATCTCTCACAGCATAAACTGCACTGGCTTATTAAAACTATCTATTTCTATGTGATACTATTAATATTATTAAAACTATCAGTACACAGCGGCCGAGTATATTTGAAGGGTTTTGTTGCAAAATGCATTTTCATAAGTTTTCTGTTCTTTTTTCTTTGATATATGTTGGCGGGAGAGGGCTTTATGCATATAAAAATATTAATGCTTTATTATGATTAATACTGCCTTTGTTAGAGAAATAAAATGTTTTCTGTTTTTTGTTATTATTGTCAAAAAATATATGTATGCTTATATGCATAGAGTCCTCTCCCAGCAACATATATCAAAGAAAAAAGAACAGAAAATTTGTGAAAATATTCTCGAATGCATTTTGCAACAAAACCCTTCAAATATACTCAGCCCTGTTGTATTGATAGTGTTAATAGTATTAATAGTATTCGATAGTAATAGATAGTATTAATAAGCCAGTTCAGTTTCTACTGTGTGATTCAGTCTCTGAAGCAGCTCGTGTGACTCTGGAGTGCGTGATGGAGGGAATGCTGACCCCTCGGCCCACCGAGCTGAATCTGGAGGAGCTAAAGGTGCTTAAATGATAGCAGAGCTAAACCTGTGTACCTGCAGATTTAATAATGCAGTGATAGAAACACATACGTTCATTTACCAAACACAAACAAAGGCAGAGCTGAGAGGATGTGATCGTTATGAATACATGAGCATCTGTGTCTGTGAACTGGTAGAAAATGTTTAGTTAAACGTGAAGTGCAGGGTGACTCCTCTCCTCTCCTCCTCTGGCCTTCAGGTAAAGAAAGCCTTCTTTGCTTTGGTTGCCAATGGAGTAAGAGCTGCTCCACTGTGGGAGACGAAAAAGCAGAGCTTTGTGGGTAAGAACTTTTAGTATGCACACACACGCATGCTTGTTTACATGCCTGGCGTGTGGGCCAGACATTACAGACACTCATACAGTCACATAATCTGGTGATATACCAAGTATATGACAGTTAATGCAGTAATTAGTGCTATTTTTAAAAGGAAAAACAGTGAAAATGGGGCCAATTGAGCAGTAATGACATACTATGTATGCAGAGCCAAAGACTCCCTCCAAAGATCTGCACATCTATGAGAATTACAATGCTATGTTAGCACCAGGCTAGTCATGAGGAACATTCATATTCCCTGCACGGGGTTTAGTACTGTCCAGGTCAGCTTGCTAACATAACATTGAAATTTCCTTAGACGTGTGTAAATGTGTATGCGCTGTATCATATGGATGGGTATGTAGAACCACTTGCATGCTTACATGGTCCTTTGCATGATGAAATCGTTCTTCAGATTGATGGAGAATATATTGCACATGGTTCTATCTAGAACCTTTTTGAAAATGGTTCTCTTTTGCACCAGAAAGGCTTCTTCTATAGTTAAAACCTTGACATCGTAACGATAGCAGAACTCTTCATGGTACTATATAGAACTAGATACACCACTTTCTCCCTCAATCTGAAGAACCATTTCACCATGCAAAGAACCACTTAATCATGCAAATGGTTCTGTATAGAAGTTATAGTGTTAAATAGAACCATTGCCTTTACTAAAGAACCCTTGAAGAACCATCTTGAAGTGTGTACAACAATATTCGCAGCCTGACAAGTTCATAGAATGACTGGCTCAAAGATTTATTATTATTAAAAATAACTTTGGAAGGCTCTGTATAGTATGTTTTGGAGTACTGTTGCTCGATTAGGACCATTTTTTTTATTGTTTTTCATTTTTTTCGCCTTTTTAAAAAAATTGATTAGTCAGTCGTCAAAATATTTGGTATTTTGCTTGATTATAACATCATATATGCATTTTTACTTCTTATATTGCAGATTTACAGTGAATTCAGCAGTAAAGCCCAACCGTATTACTGGAGAAGTGTGTTAGCTGTCTGACTTACTTAAACAAAACCTTTTACTTCATATACACTGTAACGTTGTGTACACTTTATTTCGTATACACTAACATTGTGTACACTATTTTGTATACACTGTAACTGTGTACACTTTATTTCTTATACACTGTAACATTGTATACACTATTTTATATACACTGTAACCCTGTGTACACCTTATTCCTTATACACTGTAACGTTGTGTACACTTCACTTTGTATACACTGTAACTGTGTACACTTTACTTCACATACTGTTGTAGCTACAAACATGTCGGATCCTGCTGGTGTGGGTTTCCTCTCTTTCAAAAGCAATTTGAATGCTAAAAGCTCCCCCTTGTGGAGATCTTAATACTGCTTAACACAGCTTTATAACGACCTTCGGATACCCCGTTTATCATTCACACTGCAAACTAATTATGTAAATAATATGTTTTTCGCATTAGGAATGCTGACCATCACAGACTTCATCATCATACTGCACAGATACTACAAGTCACCTTTAGTAGGTGTTTCAAACATTTTCACGTTTTCATACACAGTTTAAAGAAATGTTTTTGAATTTTTGGAAAACTGAATTATTACTGTGGCCTTCACAGGTACAAATTTATGAGCTGGAGGAACATAAGATTGAGACGTGGAGAGGTAACCGTCACTGCTGACAACTATATTACAGTTTATAGTGATAAACATGACCGTTCAAAAGTTTGGAATCAGTGGGTCTGCAGACTGCAAGACAGGGGCGGAACATGTAGGGGCAGAACCGCTCTGGTGGTTGACCAGTCAGAACTGAGTGAGCAAGCTGACCACTCAGAGCACACTGGGCTCATCAGGAGGTGTGGCTTAAAGACATAGGAGCTCTAACAGAGCATTTCAGACGGAGGGTGAATAGAGATAATAATGTGTTTGGAACATTGAAACATGCAGATCTATTCTTGACCTCAAAAATAACATTATGAACTTTGAAAAAAGCATAATAGGACCCCTTTAATACACTATATGGGCAAAAGTATTGGGACACCTACACATTACACCTACAGGAGCTTTTATGAATCCCATTCTAAATCCATAGGCATTAATATGGAGTTGGTCCCCCTTTGCAGCTCTAACAGCTTCCACTCTTCTGGGAAGATGTTGGAGAGAGTCTGTGGGAATTTTTGTCCATTAATCCAGAAGTGCATTTGTGAGGTCAGACACGGATGATGGACGAGAGGGTCTGGCTCACAGTCTCCAGTCTAGTTCATCCCAAAGATGTTAGATGGGGTTGAGGTCAGGGCTCTGTGAGGGTCAGTCAAGTTCTTCCACACCAAACTCACTCAGTCAGGCCTTTATGGAGCTGCTTTGTGTACTGGGGCTCAGTCATGCTGGAACAGGAAAGGTTCTTCCCCAAACTGTTCCCACATAGTTGGAAGTGTACAGTTGTCCAAAATGTCTTGGTTGGCTGAGTCATTAAGATTCCCTTCACTGGAACTAAGGGTTCTAGACCAACCCCTGTTTAAGTTATTTTTCTATGTAAAATAACAAAAACTGTTAATATGACAAAAGATTCCAGACTTTTTAACAGTAGTGAGTAAACAGTTTTAAGATGTTTGTCAGGAAAACTAGACCAGAGTTTTCTTTGTTCCTTTTGGCAGAACTTTACTTACAGGAGACGTTCAAGCCTTTGGTGAACATCTCTCCTGACGCCAGGTGAGCTCTCTCTCTCTTTCTGTCTGCATGTCTCTCTCTGCATCTCTCTCTCTCTGTATGTCTCTGTATCTCTCTTTCTATCTCTCTCTCTCTGTCTGTATCTCTCTTTCTATCTCTCTCTCTCTGTATGTCTCTGTATCTCTTTCTATCTCTCTCTCTCTCTCTGTATATCTCTGCATCTCTCTCCCTCTGTATGTCTCTGCATCTCTCTCTCTCTGTATGTCTCTCTCTCTGTATGTCTCTCTCTCTCTGTATGTCTCTGCATCTCTCTCTCTCTGTATGTCTCTCTCTCTCTGTATGTCTCTCTCTCTCTGTATGTCTCTGCATCTCTCTCTCTCTCTCTCTCTCTGTATGTCTCTCTCTTTTTGTATGTCTCTGCATCTCTCTCTCTCTGTATGTCTCTCTCTCTCTGTATGTCTCTCTCTTTTTGTATGTCTCTGCATCTCTCTCTCTCTGTATGTCTCTCTCTCTCTGTATGTCTCTCTCCCTCTGTATGTCTCTGTTTGTCTGTATGTCTCTCTCTCTCCCTCTCTGTTTCTTTCTCTGTGTCTGTATCTCTCTCTCCCTCTTTATCATCTCTCACTGCAGAAATTATAACATGCTCTTGAGATTCTCACCTTCGTGTGTGTGGGTGTGTCTGTGTTTGTGTGTGTCTATTTGTGTGTATGTGTGATGTGTGTGTCTGTATGTGTGTGTGTGTGGGTGTATATGTGTGTGTGTATGTGTTTGTGTCTGTATGTGTGTGTGTGTGTGTTTGTGTGTGTATCTGTGTGTATATGTGTGTGTGTATGTGTTTGTGTGATGTGTGTGTCTGTATGTGTGTGTGTGTGTGTGTGTTTGTATATGTGTGTGTGTGCTGTGTGTGTCTGTGTGTGTGTATGTGTGTGTGCTGTGTGTGTCTGTGTGTGTGTGTGTCTGTATGTGTGTGTGTGTGTGTTTGTGTGATGTGTGTGTGTGTGTGTGTGTGTGTGTGTGTGTTTGTGTGTGTTTGTGTTGTTTTTCCAGCGTGTTCGATGCTGTTTACTCCCTCATCAAAAACAAGATCCACCGGCTGCCGGTGATTGATCCGGTCACAGGGAACGCGCTCTACATCCTCACCCACAAGAGGATCCTCAAGTTTCTGCAGCTCTTTGTAAGTGAAGATGACGGAGTGAGCAGCCTGTCTCGCTCTCTCACTGCGCGAGCACGTTCTAGACACTGCATTAGCAGAGCCAGACGAGCTTTGACAACAATCAGTCAGACAGTGTGTGATGCTGACGTTGGCTGATCTGTGTAACTCTGCTTGTTCAGCCCACACACTGAGAGCTTATAGAAGGTAAATACAAAAGCTAAGTTTGCTAATTTGGCTGTAAAGGAATCACAGTGGACTGTAACAGTTCTTCGGTGCACCCCGACAGCAGATCATGTGTTTTATTTGCCTCTATCCCAACCTGAGTATTTCTGTTTCCATATTTCAGATAAATACTGAAATATTCATATGTATAATTCACAGTGCAGTGCAGAGCGCAGGTGTATCAGCTAAACTAGTCTAGTTTAGGTAGCAAGGAGAAGCAAGTCGAATAGCTCAGCTTTAAAAAGGCCATTATCACAGCTTCCCTTTAATCATTTTCATTAATCAAACATCAATGCAATAAAAACACTGTATCACTGTAGCTAGAGTTGCACCGATACAATACCCGGTCCTTTATTATCAGCCGATACAAAGTACCAATACCAATACTAACTCGGTCTAACCTGACTCATCTATAACTCCTGATATTTATACAGTTACATTTTAACATATTTTATTTTGCTTAAATCTCTGTTTTGCATCGCAATTAAAACACACTCAGCTTGACTAGATGGTATTTACATGTTGGATTATGTTTATTAGATGCTTAGAAAACTTACTTTTGTTTATTCACTGTACATATTTAGTGTTTACTATTATATAAGTAGTAGTAAGAACCATGTTTAACAACTTAAGTAAAAGTAAAATATCTTTATTGTGCAAAAGAGTTAAAAACAGAGCTGAGCAGTAAACAGTTAAACCTGTGGTGTTTACACAGCAGCACACAGCAGCTTCTCTGGCTTGAAAACAGAGCTGAATGATGTTTCGCGTCCAAATTTCTCGAGTCGTTTGTCTCAGACGTGCGTCTTATTGGCTCACGCTGCATCTCTGAGCATCAGTTCAGTAAATATCACCGTCATTCTCGCTGTCAGTATCAGCATCTTTCAGTGTTTCAGAGACGCCGCTGCTGAGTGATACAGCTGACCGACGTAGGCGCACTGCAGGCGGGGCTAGTGGACGCACAGGCCCGGCTAGCGGGCTGCTATGCTAAAGGCTAAATCGAGGCTAAAGGATCATTACACCTAAAGTCCGGCAGTTCCTTCTGCTCTCTCAATAACATTAACGCAGACTGTAAGTGACCACACAGCGGCAGACGAGCGATCACTGAAAGAAGCAGCTCAGCCGTTCAGGTCAGCGGCTCCGTTAGCGTGTTCTTAACACCAAAAACTGCCGTTACAGATTCTGCCATGAGTGTTTTTACTGCTGCTTGTTGTTCCACACTATCAACGTGGTGTTCAGTTCTGGCTACTGGCGCTAATGCATGCATCACAAACTGCTCTGTGGTATCAGTCATAGGTATCGGTGTCCCCATCACGATACCGATACTGCGTTTAAGTGCCAGTATCAGTGCTGATACCAGTACAGTATTGGTATCAGTGCAACACTAAAAATAGCTTCACTGCAGACATTTACACTTTATTAACTTCAGAAAGTGGATGAAGCTGTGTCACCTTTACAACAGTGGATCTTTCAGACCAGATCATCCCTTAATAATAATAATAATAATAATAATAATAGTCCCATATTTGAATGCTAGAGCACTGAGGTTCTCCAGCCAAGGGTTCTTAGGTTGTTTTCATACCTGTCACGAATACTTAAGTACTGCACTGCTGTTCTGTGATTGTGAGTTCTAAAAGAACGGTCACACTTCACACTGCCTCCTCGTGCTCCTCTCAGGTGTGCGAGATGCCCAAGCCGGCCTTTATGAAGCGGACGCTGGGGGAGCTGGGCATAGGCACCTACTCCAACATCGCCTTCATCCACCCGGACACGCCCATCATCAAAGCCCTCAACATCTTCGTGGAGCGGAGAGTGTCTGCGCTGCCCGTGGTGGACGTCACCGGTAATACAACCCTGAACAAAGCAGAACTTTTGTAGTTGTTTACAAAAAAAATGAAAAATGAAAGTGAAATATGCCTGGATTGGATTTTTTTACAATTTTTTTACAGTATTATTTCGTAATGTAATTAATAGAGTGGTCCAAGTTGTAATATATATGAATATATAATATATAAATGAAGTAAATAATTAAATAAAAAATAAAAATAAATACAAATATTAAATAAACAGAAATTAGGGACAAATTTGAGCAAATAAAACCAATGCCATTCATCACAATTACACAAAATAATGCAATTAGTCCCAATTAATTACTTGAATGCTTGTTAATGTTGCTGTGGAGTAACGAGCTTCCTCAACAGCAGATACAGTTTTATGGCACATGGCTGATCTGACTGCCTACGAGCACTAAAAACAAACCCGCGTCTCTCTCCAAAGAGCTGTAATCTATCTCTACAGCTGTGTGGAGAGCTTCGGGAAGGGCTTTCCCCAGAATAAAACACGATCCGTCTGTAAACATCTCCGCTAACTTTAGCAGCAAACGCTGTTAGACTGAGTAGAGAAACTCTGCATTTAATTCAGACCAATAAATAAGCTGTTTGTGAGCTGCACTTTACTGTATGCCCCAAAAATACATGTGAAGTTTTATTGAGTCTTAGACAGTTTTGAGCACCGACACTGATTTTATATCACTTCTCTTTCATGCAGGAAAGGTTGTGGATATTTACTCCAAATTCGACGTCATAGTAAGTCTTTTCTTCCATTTTTGTAATCCTGTGTGATGTAATACAGATGTAGCACCAGTTTCAGGTTTTGTACTGTACTGCTTATTTACATGCTGGAGTTCAGTGTTTTGGTTGTTGTTTTGGTTAGCGAACGTATACACTGACCAGCCACTTCATTAACTGCTTACTTTGTCCACTGACCATATAGTTTCACTCTGTAGTTCTACAGTTACAGACTGTAGTCCATCTGTTTCTCTGCATACTATGTCACCCTGTTCTTCAGTGGTCAGGACCCCCACAGGACCCTCACAGAGCAGGTACTATTTGGGTGGTGGGTCATTCTCAGCACTGCAGTAACACTGACATGGTGGTGGTGTGTTAGTGTGTTGCGCTGGTCTGAGTGGATCAGACACAGCAGTGCTGCTGGAGTTTTTAAACACCTCAGTGTCACTGCTGGACTGAGAATAGTCCACCAACCAAAAATATCCAGCCAACAGCGTCCTGTGGGCAGCGTCCTGTGACCACTGATGAAGGACTAGAGGATGACCAACACAAACTGCAGCAGCAGATGAGCTATCGTCTCTGACTTTACATCTACAAGGTGGACTGACAAGGTAGGAGTGTCTAATAGAGTGGACAGTGAGTGGACACAGTGTTTAAAAACTCCAGCAGCACTGCTGTGTCTGATCCACTCAGACCAGCGCAACATGCACTAACACGCCACCACCGCCACGTCAGTGTTACTGCAGTGCTGAGAATGATCCACCACCCAAATAGTACCTGCTCTGTGGTGGTGCTGTGGGGGTCCTGACCACCGAAGAACAGGGTACCCGAGTATGCAGAGAAACAGATGGACTACAGTCTGTAACTGTAGAACTACAGAGTGAAACTATATGGTCAGTGGAGCTGATAAGATGGACAGTGAGTGTAGAAACAAGGAGGACGTGGCTGGTTGATGTATACATAATGCATATTAATGACATATTAATAAACCAGTTAAGTGTTTTTTATGGATTTTAAACACCCAGCAGATGACAGTTTGTGTATCATGAGTAAAATGCACAAAATAGAATAAAGATATATATAAAAACAAACTGCTTAGCAACAGGAACGCCAGTATTTCTATGGAATATAATGTTAACGTGTATATAATGCTTATTATCTGTAATAATGGCCAAAGCTAAAAATCAGTATTGTCGTATGATCCCAATACTGGCACAGACAATGTATCACCCATCAGCAGCATGAGAATAAACACGTTTATTAGAAAAGAATGATGGTTAGATTGTGTATCCATCTATTATGTATCTCCGTGTCACTCAGAGTCATAGCAGTGATTGTATTTTTCAGAACGGTGCAGGTCTGTATGTAGTAAGCATGTAATAAGTATGTTGTAAGCAGTGGGCGTATGAGGCGGAGGCTTTAGTGTTACTCTGTTCATTAGTGTTGTGGGTGTGTATAGAACCTGGCTGCAGAGAAGACCTACAACAACCTGGACATCACGGTCACTCAGGCTCTGCAGCACCGCTCGCAGTACTTCGAGGGAGTGATGAAGTGCAAACGGCACGAAACGCTGGACACCATCGTGGACAGAATCGTCAAGGCTGAGGTGAGGCTTTGCTGAATCCCAGGGGGCGCTGTAGTTGGGGTGGGGAGGGTCAATTCTGAGGACCCCAAAGAACCCCTTATTGCTGCACCAGTAATTGATGTTTCCTTATTATCATCACATTTATTGTTATTAAAGTATTTTGCTAAAAGATTTGTCACCTAGTTCTAATAGTTAAAGGACAACTCCACTGATTTTTCAAATTTTCTGCATAATTACGTGGTCCCCAAACAAAACATATTATTTAAGATTTACACTATTTTCCATCATCAACATTCCATATAAACTCAGAAGACTCGTGTAGGTTCACTGGTGGTTCTGGATAGTAAATAAAATGTCTATATTTGTGTTGTAGTCATGGCGACCCCTGGTTCCTATCACCACCACTGTTAAGACATCTGAACCATTTCACACCAAACCACTCTGAATCTCTCTGTTTACATCTCCCACACTGAATTATGCAGAAATTTTGAAAAGTTGGTTGAGTTCCCCTTTAAGTTTAAAAAGAAGACAATGTTAGAGGAAGGTGTGAGTGTATGAAATGAAAACAAATGTTTTGTAAGTTTGCTGAGAGCTGTTTGTTGTCCAGGTGCACCGGCTGGTGGTGGTGGATGAAAACTCCAGCATTGAAGGAATCATCTCACTGTCTGATATCCTCCAGGCCCTCGTCCTCACTCCGGCAGGTAAACACGCCCAGCTTCCTCATCTGCTGGGTTACTGCAGGGAGTCCAGCACAGTTTGGTGATTTTCCAGCTCAAACAACTAGAAATATGACAGCAGAAATGTTTAGAGAACTACAGAATGTGAATTATTAAAAGGGAAATCTAAATTGTCATACATTTCTTTTTCTTCAAAGTATCTCAAATTGAGAAGAGCTTTTTCACTGAAACTGTTACGAAGGTTCTGCTTTCTGTCCAGTTTCAGTAATTTTAGATTTCTCTCACATCTCTTACTGTATCATATAATCACAGATTCATACTGGATTAAAATCACTCCACAATTATTACAGTCAGACTGTAAAACTACACACACTGCAGATTCATACTGGATTAAAATCACTCCACAATTATTACAGTCAGACTGTAAAACTACACACACTGCAGATTCATACTGGATTAAAATCACTCCACAATTATTACTGTCAGACTGTAAAACTACACACACTGCAGATTCATACTGGATTAAAATCACTCCACAATTATTACTGTCAGACTGTAAAACTACACACACTGCAGATTCATACTGGATTAAAATCACTCCACAATTATTCCCGTCAGACTGTAAAACTACACACACTGCAGATTCATACTGGATTAAAATCACTCCACAATTACTACTGTCAGACTGTAAAACTACACACTGCAGATTCATACTGGATTAAAATCACTCCACAATTATTACTGTCAGACTGTAAAACTACACACACTGCAGATTCATACTGGATTAAAATCACTCAAATTATTACTGTCAGACTGTAAAACTACACACACTACTGGATTAACATCGCAGATCTTGTTGGTAATCTTACACAGGTAAAACTAATCCAGCTCCAGTAGAGCTTTACTGACTGAGTTTATATTAACTTCACTCGCTCATCTTTAAAGCTTTGCTCCATTTTTTCCCGCAGGACGAAGCAGAAAAGACGTTATGACAGAATGACGAGTAACGACGACATGTTGCGGAAACGAGGAGAGAGGAGTCCAGTTGGAGTCGTGCCTGGTCCAGCAGGACGTTCCGACCCAGGGTTCGTTTCGTGGGACTCTCAGAGAACTCGACTGGAAGCACTTTGCTGCATGTCGGGCATCTTGTTTAGGTGCCTTTCGGAGCGGCTTTGTGAACAGACCCGTTACGGTCATAACGCACATTATTTTCATACACTCTGTAAAGTCTCGGTGGCCCAGTCCTCAGTGTTCGCTGCTGTACTGTAGGGGGCTGTTCTGATTCGTGGGCACACTGGCTCACTGCGATGGTGATGGACAGCGCCTGTGAAAGAAATCACAGCTATGCACTGTGGGGAGAGTCTGTATACTCATAATCTGTACTGCGTATGATAAACAGCACAGTAATGTTCAATGTGGAAACTGCACCTAATGTAGAGATTTGGGAAATTGGATTTGGGAATTTAAAGGAATACTCCAGAATTTTTCAACTTATGCTCTATCTGCTGCATCAGTTGTGCAGAGTCAGTTATCATGGAAAATATTTTTGTCACGTTTTGCTGTAGAAAAGAAGAGAAAACCTGTGGAGCTGAAACTGACTTATAATAGAAGTGTTTGGGCAGTTTCTCAATTCTGTCAGGTAAAGTTTATCAGAGTAAAACACTTCAGTCAAAGGTATTTTTAAATTCAGCTTTAACTCTGTATAATTCAGGCTTTCAAAAAAAGTGGGCAAAGAAAATTATTAGTGGTAATTTGCTAATAGTATAATTTGTACATTGGCTCCTATTGTACGTACTAACTGACTGTATACAACAGATAAAGCAAAATTTCTCAAAATTTCCCTTTTTTTTCAAAATTTCTGCATAAATCAATGGTTGCACTGCAAAAATTAGTATCTTGTCAAGTGAAATGATCTTAAATCTAGTCAATATATGTAATATTTCCAATTTTGAGCACTTATTGTAAGATTATTTACCTCATTTCTAGACATTTTTTACTTGTTTTAGGTAATATTATTAAGTAAAATTATCTCACTATACTGGCAGATCATTTTGGTGGTTCCAAGCACATTTCTTAAAACAAGCAAAATTATCTACCTATATAGTGAGATCATTTTACTTGATAAAATGACCTAAAACAAGTAAAAATAAGATAAGGTAAATTATTTAAAGTAAGCTTACATCAATCTCAACAGGAGAAATATTGACTAGTTAAGATCATTTTACTTGTCAAGATTTAGACTTGACAAGAGATACACAACTATTTTGTAGTGTGAGATGTAATCAGAGTGATTCAGAGTGGTTTGGTGTGAAATGGTTCAGATGTCTTTACAGTGGTGGTGATAGGAACCAGGGGTCACCATGACTACAGCACAAATATAGACATTTTATTTACTATCCAGAACCACCAGTGAACCTACACGAGTCTTCTGAGTTTATATGGAACGTTTATGATGGGAAAATAGACATAAATCTGAAAAAACAAGTTTCTTTGCCCTCCACCATGACTGGGTTTTTAAAAAGAGATTTTAGGCCAAAACCTTCTCAGAATGATTGTAAAACAGTGTCTCAGTCATCAGGCAGTGAATTCATAACCATGTAGTAACTTTCTGTGAGGAGCTTTTAGAGGTGGACGTCTGGTTCCTATCATCACCACTGTGAACAGTTCTGACTCGGTAAGTTTCTCTAGAACAGAGCGTTTCACACCAAACCACTCTGAGCGACTCTGTTTACATCTTAATAATTGAGCGATGCAGAAGTTTTGACTGGAGTATTCCTCTAGCGAATGCTGCACAGCGACTCTTTGGTGTCTTGTGTCTTTTTCTGTTGCTAGTAGTGAAAATTAGAAGCGCGCTCATCCTTCGCAGCCAAAGAATGTGTTTTTGAGAATGTAAATCTGGCTAAACACTGTTATTCTTGCTGTGTCGTTGTCCAGCGCCGTCAGCTGTGCCTTGTGAAGCCCGCCTGCTTTATGTAAATGCAGAATGAATGTACCAAATCAAAGAGAACACTGGCTCTCGCTGTTTTACACAAACGCTGCAACCAAAACAGTTTTTTTAAGTCTGAATGGGTGAGAAGGTGTTTGTATTAGCCATAAAAAATGACATTATGTGACTATATATAAAAGAGCTTTATTTTTTATAGTATCTTTTCTTATCAGTCTAGTTTTATTTTTGCTGGCTTGCATGCTGGCAGGTGCATGGGATACCCAGAAGATGACCATCAGCACCTTCAGATGCACCAGTGTTGAAGTTAAAGGTGCAGTGTGTAATTGATTTAGTGGAATCTAGTGGTGAGGTTGGAGATTGCAACCAACTGAATCACCCTCCCTCACCCCTCCCTTTCCAAACGTGTAGTAGAACCTACGGTGGCCGGCAGGTTTTCTGCCGTCGTCTGTCCCGATTTCATTTTGCTTCTTCATGTTTTCGCTTCTTTGGTGACGAGGGTTCACCCTCTTTCGCTTTTTCTTGTGCTAAATGATAAGTCTGATCCTCCATTTGTCAAAATTAGGGTTCTCAAACTTCTCATGACACAAAATGGTCAACGGCACCGGCGGCAACCACTGATTCTTCTTTCTACGTCTTCCAACTGGAGCTACAGCGCCACCAAATGTAACGTAAGGCGCCCTCTAGAGTCAGAGTTTTGTTTGTCCTTTCTGGGCTACTGCAGAAACAAGGCGGCTCAACATGGTGGCCGCTCCCTATGTAGATATGAAGAGCTCATTCTAATCTAACGAAAACACGATTCATAGTTACAGGTGATTTACACTGATAAAAATAGATATTGCATTTCTGCTCATAGAGCCTCCTAAATCTCACACACTGCACCTTTAAAGGAAGACGCCAACCTCTTTCAGTCTGCTGCATTTTGTGTCTTACTGTTGATTACAATGGACAATCATTTCAGCAGGTTTCTCTGTACGGAACAGAAAACCTGTTCACTCCAAACTCAAGTGACAAAATGGTTTAGCATTAGCATGCTAACTGTTAGCCTGTTAGCTACCCAGGATTTTATTTTTCCACCTGGTCCCTGAGGGGTAAGGGAAAAACCAAAAACAGCCAGAGTGTAACATGCTAAATACTAGCCAATATTTTTTCCAGTCGCGGAAAAAAAAAGTGGAGGAGACACAGGAATGCACTTCCGGGTGTTTTTCCTCTTTCCCTTCAGTGCTTCCGCAGAAATTTTCCAAAACGAATAGTAAATCTCTTCACATTAACATACATGAAAGTTAAAAACGAAAACAAAAAAAAGCTTCTTTCTTTCTCCTGTAGAGGGCACCTTTCTGAGATGCGAGGTTTTATTACAATTAGGGGTGGGCGATACGGCAAACATGTATCACGATACTTTTTCACGATACGCAATATGTATCACAGCATTTCATTTTTCTGAGTTGGAACAGACAAAGTAGAACCTGTAGTACCTCAGTAAAAAAACAACAAAGTTATGATAATAATATTAATAATAATAATAATAATAAATCTACACCCATAGTGTTTATTTAATGTTTTACAAACTGCTCTGCACTAAATCCAGTTAATCAGGCCTAACTGTGCTCACTCTGTAATGAAACGTAGCTCTGGCGATGTCCACGATATGCTCAGAAAAGCGTATTGTGACATAATTTATCATAATAACGATAAGATATCGCCGTATTGCCCACCCCTAGTTACAATAGCAATGAATCACCTCGTAAACCTTCACTAATTTCAGCAGCTGCTCATTGGCTTCTGTTCTGAGTTTTGAGTGACCAGCTTTTCTGCTCATTACAGTGTCCAGATAAATACGGCAGAGTTTTATGGAGGTTAATCTGAAGGTTTCCTTTAAAAGGGGAGAATCACCCATTTCTGTCTGTCTGCAATGAAAGTTTCTGGTGAAACGGGTTTTAGGTCAGAAGGCTGACCGCTGTGTTAAACTGCTTTAAGCTGATCTAGTGTAAATAGAGCCTCTGCAGAAGCTCGGACTCAGAAAGGCCGATCAACATGTGCAAAATTGCTGAATGAACTGCAGATTTAAAGATTTTTTTTTTATTATTTCATTGTATTTTTTTAGTCAAAGATGAGAATGTTGTATGGAGAGCGCGCATATGTGCACCTTTATCAGCATGAACGACACTAATGTTTTAAATGTTGTTTTTTAATAAGTGTCTGATTTCAAATACACGCACAATACGTTCATATCTGGTGTGTTACAGTGTCTGATGTACTGACGTGTACGCGCATTGACCTGAGTGTCAAAATGAGTTAGAATCAGAATTATTACATCACCACGTCTCAATAAAGACCACAGGAAAGAATTCGGGAGGACTTCTGATGTATTAAATAATATTATCATTTTCACTCAAATCTACTACAATGTATTAGTTTTAAATATATATGTTTAACCTCAGATTTATTATTGCTATGCTATTATTATTATCATTGCTATATTAGTAGTATAATAATAATAAGTGCAACATAAGCTTTGTGGGTGAAGCGTCAGCTTTATACAGTACTGTGCAAAACTCAGAGACCCCCCCCCCCATTTATTTAAAGGGCCCATATCATGGACAAATAAATGGGTCATTCTCCATTTGCAGTGGGAGGCCGTGCCACAAAGGTTGCAGGGCTGAAAAAGATGCTCAAAATATCAGGTGCGGCTCCAAAAGTAGGTATGTATATTTACACAGCTGACCTAAGATTAAATAACATTTTTCCCTTATGATTCTCTGATTTTTAATGTTTTATCCTGTTTCATAGTCGCTCTGCATCTGTAAAACAGCTCATCAAAAAAAATTAAATTGTTTTAATATAAAAAAAATATTTTTCAAAGGTTTAACTCAGGAATTTGCATAAAACACATTCACTTATTTTTTATATCAAATGTATTTTAAAAATCTGAATTCCCACTGCAAATGGAGAATGACCCACATCGCTTTTTCAAAATAAGAGTCTGATGCAGAATGTAAACACTGTTAAAGTTTGCTTCTTGTCTACTTCTCAGTCCATATGAATATAACACAGCAAAAACAGACCATTCTGAATTGTTTCTGTGATGTCACGAGAACCAACTCATTTACATACAGTTTAGCTCCGCCCACTCACGCTGAAGTTATAAGCAATGTTTCAGCCTGGACTGCTGGACTGGTACACCAAAACTAGGGCCCAATCCCGTTTCTTACTTTTACCCCTACCCCTTGTTTTCGAGTGTTGCCCCTTTTAACTGAGTTACAGGGTAGTGGTTGAAATCTTCCCTCTGAAATGGGACCCTCAAATAAAAAGAGCATCACTTCATTAACAGCTACCAGCGCTGCTCTGTAGGCGACCCTGCCAGTCTGCAGTGACAGCAGAGGAGGCTAAAGTTCAGCATTTAGGGCATCAAAGAGGGGGGGGGGGGCAATTATTTATTATCGCCCTCCACTAATTCTTCAGTGATATGAAGCTGAAATCAGATATTCACCAGCTAATTTTTCTGTTCCACCTTAAATGGAGCAGCAGTTCTGACACCTGAGGCGCCAGAACATATATATATACCTAGATGCCGTGTTGGGTCCAGCCAGGCACGTCAACGCTGCCGCCATTTTAGAGAGGTCAACATCGCTGCTGGACTGCATTCAGTACCATTACAGGGCGGCAGTTTAAGAACGATACTGTCCACATTTACACTATTTAAGGAATATCACACTCAGAAAGTGGGATAGGATTATATAACGGAGGGAACGCAGTGATCCACACTCACGTTTGTGTGATGTGTATTGTTTGTGTGGTGTTTATGTAGATATGGTGGTTAATGAGGCTCAGAGAACCTGTTGATGTGATTGTTTTTCCTCTGGTTTTATATTAAGCTCATTTCATTTAATAGTCTATTCAGGGGGTCTTAACTTTATGTAGAAGTTATTTATTTACAATGATACTTAATGCTTGTAGTTATAGCACTTTCTAATCCGTGCAGATATTCATAATAGA